CTGCTGGTTGTTGCTCAACTGGCTTATAAGTGACTGTTTGTGTGTTAATAAGTGAACCAGAGAGCTAAAGGACGTTAGCGACGACGTGTTTCACTTTTATCTGAAATCACTTTCTCCTTTTCGGGGAAGGCTGATGACACTCACATCGAGTAAAGAGCCTTTAACAGGCTTCCTGAGTGGCAATCAACTCCGGAAACAGCTTCTACATGAGCATCAGCCACTTAATACACACACACACACACACACACACACACACACACACACACACACACACACACACACACACGGCCCATAATGCTGCTGGTAAAAACACAGAGTTAAATGAACTTATGTGGTTTTACAGTGTACCGATAACAAACTTTAAATAAGAATTTACCTCAACAATAAATAAACTGTTGGTGGTAATACATTGAAACTGTATAAATGAATCAGAAACTATTTAAGTTGAACTAACTGAAGAAAATGAGGAAGCAACAAAAGAAAGAAAATGATGAAAAAGGTTTAAAAAGCAGCTATTTGAATATTCAAAACCTCCCGGGTTATTTCCATGAAGACGCCAACCATGGCTGCCATGTTGGGCGCCACAGGAGGAAGAGGAGGAGGAAGAAGAGTCCTTTTACTGTTGTTTGTGAGACTGGACACTGAAAGGACACGAGAGTTTGAACTGGAGGAGACACTGAGGTTTCCTTTGCGAGCTGAACCGGTCGGTCTGCATACCGACGGCGTTCCAGAGCCCAACCTGCTCTTTAAAGCCGACGTATGCACACAGTTGTGTCTCTTTTATTATCTTTAACATAGTTTAACAGTTGCTTTTAAAGTCTGAATGTGCAGCAAAAGAAATATTTTACTCTACAAAACCTCCAAATAATATATGTTTTATATTTATTTATTTTATATTTAAAATACTCAGAGAAGTGAACAGAGTTTGGTGACGTCATTGTTATAAACTCTTATTATTATTAACTTATTCATTTCAGTTTGGGACTGTGTGAAATTTATTTATTTATTTATTTATTTATTTATTTATTTATTTATTTATTGTACTTTGCTTACAGGAAGTTGTGATTAGTATTAAAGTTTAACCTGTTACAGAATAAAAGCATCAAACCTAATCAATAATCAATTAGATCAATACACTGTAAAACCAGATGAGTTCATTTAACTGAAACCCCCCCCCTCACCCACCTGCACAGGTGAGACCCTGCTGGAGGATGTAGTCGCAGCACACATCGCACCAGGTGTTCTCTCCCCCAGGCTCGAAGGTGTGACCCTCCCCGGACTCCTCTCTCACCCTGGGGTCCCTCTCTGAGAAGATGGTCCTCACATCGGGGGGTCTGAAGCCCTTCTTCCTGCTCCGCTGTGGCCCCCCACCCTCTGGCTCTCCGTTCCTCCGCTCCTGGCTCCCCTCCGGCTGTCCCCTCTCGCTCCAGGCCGCCTCCAGGCTCTCCAGGCGGGGGGGCAGAGGAGACGGATGCCGCCGGACGGCTCTCACCACCGCGCCCTTGTTGGCTTTAGAGATCCGCATCTTGGCGCCCGGCAGCGGCCAGGTCGCCTCCAGCGGGTCGGTCAGTGTACCGGGGGATTTGTTGACATGAACGGTCCGCACGGTTAACGGAGAGTCATCCGTGACCGAGGAGCGCGTGGGCACGTATTTCCGACCCTGGTGCACGACGTTAAACATTACGCACAGTCCTCAAAGTCCGCGAGGAGCCGGTGGAGGGTAGTGACACAGCGGAGACGTCATTGTTGTCGGTGATGACACCGAGCGATGATCCGTGAGCTGCGGGTGGTTTGTTTGTTGTCGGTGAGCAGGTTGAGGCAGTCTGGGTGTGCAGGGGAACGGGTTGGATCTCATTTCACTGCCGGAGACACCGGAGCGCTCCAGGAAGGAGGACGCGCCAAACTCCGTTTAGAAAAATGCTCATTTAACGATTCTTTTACCGTCAGGCTGCGTCATCACGTGACAAACTAATAACTAATAACTCGATAAATGTAATAGATTGTCCTCTTTAGTTCGGCATGAGTTTCATCACCTACAAGCGCACATATAATAAAATAATAACTTTTATTATTGGGTGGTTTCTTCCTGTGAACATTAAGCCATATCTCAACATTTAGATTTAATTAAAGCAAAGCTGTTAGAGTTCATTATTTATCTGCCGAATCCGTCGAATAAACTCATTTAACAACTTTTTACTTGAGAAATAATTACAAAATTAATTAGAATTTTTAAAAAAGGTGAAATACTTTAAATGATCAAAAATCTAAATGGAGTTCACAACGACTGTTAGTATAATGTAGGTCGTCATTTGACCACACAGCGGCGCTGTTTGAGCAATTAAAGTAAAACCAGGACAACTCTGATTATAATAAAGTATCTTTAATGTCTTTAAATTACAGTTCATCACATTCTTATGACACCAATTAAAAAACACACACACACACACACACACAGACAGACAGAGACACACACACACACACAGACACACACACACACACAGACAGCAGAGACACACACACACACACACAGTGTAACACACAACACCCTTTTTTTTTATAAAAAGTGCAAGTGCTGAAAATACTTTTTATAAAACTACAGAAATAACCTGTTTCAATCTCCCTGAAAAACTACTGATGATGTTTTATGTGTGTGTGAGTGTGAGTGTGAGTGTGTGTGAGTGTGTGTGAGTGTGTGAGTGTGTGAGTGTGTGTGAGTGTGTGTGTGTGTGTGAGTGTGTGTGTGTGAGTGTGTGTGAGTGTGTGTCTCTGAGTGTTCTTCCAGCAGAAGTAGAACCGAGCCTTTAGGTCCAGTAACTGTAGTAATTAATGTTGGAACAGTGTTTTTAAGACTTTGGCACATCAGATAATATTACAATAAAGTTTTCCCATAATGCATCCTGATACTAATGCTGGATCTTTATGTAAACTTTTTGTTCCTCGTAGCCTCGTTTAAAGTCCGCGGGAGCCTGAACGCCTCGCTGAGGGGGGGGCGGCGCTGACCCGATGGAACCGGTTGGCGGCTCTGGAAGGAGACGGTTCACTGGACCTCGTCCTCATCATCACTGTGGAAGGCTTCCTCCTGTGGAGGGCGGGAAACATTAACATTAGTGTGTGTGTGTGTGTGTGTGTGTGTGTGTGTGTGTGTGTGTTACACTGTGTGTGTGTGTTACAGTGTGTGTGTGTTACAGTGTGTGTGTGTGTGTTAAACTGTGTGTGTGTGTGTGTGTTACACTGTGTGTGTGTGTGTGTTACACTGTGTGTGTGTTACAGTGTGTGTGTGTGTGTGTGTGTGTTCCACTTGTGTGTGTGTGTGTTACAGTGTGTGTGTGTGTGTTGTGTTGTGTGTGTGTGTGTGTGTTACACTGTGTGTGTGTGTTACAGTGTGTGTGTGTTACAGTGTGTGTGTGTGTGTTACACTGTGTGTGTGTGTGTGTGTTACACTGTGTGTGTTCCACTGTGTGTGTGTGTGTGTTCCACTGTGTGTGTGTGTGTGTGTTACACTGTGTGTGTGTTACACTTGTGTGTGTGTGTGTGTGTGTGTTACACTGTGTGTGTGTGTTCCACTGTGTGTGTGTGTGTTACACTGTGTGTGTGTTACACTGTGTGTGTGTTGTACGTACGTATCCTCCCTGCTGTTGGACCCAGGGTGAGAAGTACATCTGCAGGTATTTGGCTCCGTGGTCGAGCATGCGGTTCCTGGGCAGAGAGACGGTGGCAGACAGACGGGTGGTGACCTGCAGGAGAAACACAATGATGATGTCACAGTGTGTGGTGGTATTGAATAATGAGGTAATGTGTGTTACAGGTCACAGTTTACAGACAGTAGAGCCTACAGAGCCTCAGTGGGGGGGGGGTAACTGACCTCACAGGTCACAGCGATCTGGGTTTTAGGTGAAGCTTGTGGGCCCCAGAGCGTCGGGTTGGGGGAGCGGAGACCCATCCTCTCCAGGAGTCTGCTTATCAAGTTCTCAAAGAAAGAGAAGTTCAAGAAGAGTTCTCCATCTACAGCCTTCAGATCCTGGAGGACAGACAGACAGACAGACAGACAGACAGACAGACAAAAAAAAAAAAAAAAAAAAAAAAAAAAAAAAACAGGTATTAAACAGACAGACAGACAGAGAGAGAGAGACATCAGACACAGATATTAAACAGCAGACAGACAGAGAGAGACAGACAGACAGACAGACAGACAGACAGACAGACAGACAGAGAGAGAGAGAGAGAGAGAGAGAGAGACAGAGAGACATATCAGACACAGATATTAAACAGACAGACAGACAGAGAGACAGACAGAGAGACAGACAGACAGACAGACAGAGACAGACAGACAGACAGACAGACAGACAGACAGACAGACGTCCTACCTCATTCACCCTGTCTCCAGTCTCTCTCAGCAGCAGGGCGATCACTTTCTCCACATCGTCTAGAACAAAGAACGCCGACAGTCAAACACTGCGTCAGACGCCATTTTATTAGATCATGTGACCAGCTGTGACGAAGATGATGAAGATGATGAAGATGATGAAGATGATGAAGAGCAGTTTGTGTGATAAACATTAAATCTGATCTCACCTTCTGGAGCGTCTGACTCGATCTCTGGAGGACTGAACTTGATTTCATCTGCGAGCTCCGTCAGTCGACTCACCGCCTCCTCTAGCTCCTCCTCCTCCTCCTCCTCTTCATCATCTACACACACACACACACACACACACACACACACACACACACACACACACACACACACACACACACACACACACACACACACACACACACACACACGTTAACAAAGAGAAAGAACAAGTCCATACCAACATCTGAAGCAGCGTTTTCTCAGAAACAGGAAGACCGATGAAGAGCTGATGAAGAACTAATAAAGAGCTGATGAAGAGCTGATGAAGAACTAATAAAGAGCTGATGAAGAGCTGATGAAGAACTAATGAAGAGCTGATGAAGAACTAATGGAGCTGATGAACTAATAAAGAGCTGATGAAGGCTGATGAAGACTGATGAAGAGCTGATGAAGAACTAATAAAGAGCTGATGAAGAGCTGATGAAGAACTAATAAAGAGCTGATGAACTAATAAAGAGCTGATGAAGAACTGATGAAGAGCTGATGAAGAACTGATGAAGAGCTGATGAAGAACTAATGAAGAGCTGATGAAGAACTAATGAAGAGCTGATGAAGAGCTGATGAAGAACTAATAAAGAGCTGATGAACTAATAAAGAGCTGATGAAGAGCTGATGAAGAACTAATGAAGAGCTGATGAAGGCTGATGAGACTAATAAAGAGCTGATGAACTAATAAAGAGCTGATGAAGAGCTGATGAAGAACTAATGAAGAGCTGATGAAGAGCTGATGAAGAACTAATAAAGAGCTGATGAACTAATAAAGAGCTGATGAAGAGCTGATGAAGAACTAATGAAGAGCTGATGAAGAGCTGATGAAGATACTTTAGCTCTGATTTCTTTCCCTAACATTTGTTGGACTGTAAACAATTATTGATTAATCTGATCAATATTATAAGTAATTAAATAATAACCCCCCCCATTAACACTGACCTCCAGCGAGACAGCGGTTGTAGGCGGCGGGTTTGTTCTCGGGGATTCTGGGTAAATCTTCGTCTTCAGTCTGAGGTTTGATACACCGGAGGATCAACGCCAGACGTTTCAACCCCCTCGTCCTCTTCTTCCTCTTCTCCTCCTCCTCCTCAGTCTGAGGGGGGGGGGGTTTCTGGTCATGAATGTCGCCATTTTGTGCCACCAGGTCGTTGGGGGGTGCCGGGTCAGCGACCTTCAGCGGGCGCCTCCTCTTAGCGTACGCCCGGAGCAGTCTGAGCTCCGGCGTGTTCTCGGGGTCCGAGCTGGATCTGGTCTCAGGGTCGGTTCTGCTGCTGCTGGGGAGGTCGCCGCGGTTGGGGAGGTCGCCGCGGTTGGGGAGGGGGTCGTGGATCTCCACCTGACCGTTGGCCATGTTGGTTTACTGTCGGTGAGAAAGACCAGAATCAGAATCAGGATCAGGATCAGAATCAGAATCAAGATCAGTTTGTGTTAATGAAGTTGAAGCTGCTCTTCTATCTGACACTGAATCAATAATCTATAAATCAATATATTTTAGGCCTCGAACAGTCTGAGGAGGTTGTGATGCGTTCGAGGAACCTTTCTGAGGGTGTTTTTAATTCCACTGTATCAGTTTATTATCACTTCATGTGTTAATGTCGCCCTCTGCTGGAAACCAACAGAAAGCATCAGGATCATGTTGAGGCATGTTCCAACAGAGAACCAACAGAACCAACACAGAACCAACAGAACCAACAGAACCAACACAGAACCAACAGAACCAGGATCAGTTAGTTACCTGACACTTAATCTGAGTATCACTAAAATAAAGTAACTTATTACTAACTCATTACTTTAGGATTAACCTGAACATCAAATATGCAAATAAAGACAAGAGAACAGAGATAAAGAACATAATAATATTATTATTAATAATATTATTATTAATATATATATTTGTTATAATAATAATAATAATAATAATAATAATAATAATAATAATATTGTTAATAATAATAATAATAATATTAATAATAATAATAATATTGTTAATAATAATAATAATAATATTGTTAATAATAATAATAATAATATTGTTAATAATAATAATAATATAACCTTCCACACTGTTTCTTTAAAGAAATTGATTTTTAAATTAAACTCATCCAGCTTTAACAGATTCATTACTTTTTGTTGTATCCTGATTACTAACTCAAGTTACATGTAATCAGTTACTCCCCGAGGCTGATAATAAACAGCTGTTACTGTAAACAAACAAACAAACAAATGTAGATAATTAACTGTTGTAATAATCCATAAAATATATACTTAAAGCCAATTTATCCTCCCTACAGAGCTCATACAGTTAGTAACCTATTATATTACAACAACAACAATAACAACAACAACAACAACAAAAATAACAACACTAATAATAATAACAACAACACTATTAATAATAACAACAACACTATTAATAATAATAACAACACTAATAATAATAATAATAATAACAACACTAACAACAACACTAATAATAATAATAATAACAATAATAATAATAATAATAATAACAATAAGTACTTAGCTGTGGCTGTTAGCAATATAAATGCTACATGTTTTTTTTGGGGGGTTTTTTTATGTAAAGTGTCTTTGAGTATTTAGAAAGGCGCTTATAAATAAAATGTATTATTATTATTATTATTATTATTATTATTATTATTATTGTTATGTTAGCTTCCCTCTCACTGACGATAAAAAACAACTTTTGCTCCGAGAATTAAAACTGAGAACTACAAACTGACCTTTACCGGCTCCGGTTGTTGTGTCTGACAGACAAACGGAACTTTATTGAAACTCTGACGGTCGCCATTAACCGTTGAACTGGTTCAGGTAAACTTTAGAAACACTTCGTCAACCGCCAGAAGAACCGGAATAAAGCTCTTCCCCCGGTTTAATTCCTCCTTCCTGAAGCTAAAGTCTGTTAAACTCGAGTACTTACGGTGCGAACGGTTAAACAGCCGGTAAAAGACGTTAAATCCTCCACTGACTGCGTTCCGTACGGTGTTTCTACCGGTTGCTCTGCCGGAGAGCACTGAACCGCCGCTGCGCCGCAACAGCTGTATTTATACGTTCCTGCGTCATTACGTAGACGTCTCCTCGTGACTTTCTCGTAATTAAGGATCTAAACGATGAAAACCAGGACAGGTTAAAACTGTGTTTTAACTATAATTCTGCTTTATTTTAGGTTGTTAGTATTATTATTTTATATGTTTCTTACCAATCTGTATATATAAATATATATTTTACAATGTAAACGTGTTTCCTGTGCCAATAAAGGCCCTTTAAATTGAATTAATTATATTAATGATACTAAAAGCATACCGTGATCACAGTAAGAGCACTTTAACAAGCCTGGATTATAATAAATGTGTTTACTATCAACTGCTCTTCTTAAAATATCTCTGGGAAGTGAAAGTGAAACAGAAAAATAATGACACAGCAAATAAAAACTGATGATTGTTCAAGTTACAGCTGTCATTCTGACTCATTGTTATTATTTTCTTCACTTAAAAGGAATTTTTCAGCAAATTCACAGAGTCAGCGGGAATCCCCAGATCCTCTCTGTGTGTCATGTGACTCGTTTAGCCTCAAACTATTTCATTAGATTATCTACTGGGTGGAAACTGTGCTGGTTCCCGGTGCAGCGGGGTACAGAGCTGAAACTGAAACACAACCTCAGCTCTACAGGAACTCTTCCTCCTCTTCCTCCTCTTCCTCCTCGCTGCTGCAGCGTCTCACTGTGCACCGAGGTAATAGTTACATCATGACTCACCTGGAGGTCTTACAAGAAAGGTAACGCTTTTTTTGGAAGGAATTTCCAGCTGTGACTCAGTCTGACAGCCACGTGATGAATGTCGCGTTCAGGCTCCAGGGTTAAAGTGGAACCACACATACAGCAGGAATGTCCCTGAACGCCTCAAACAGTAACTCACCTCTTATTAATGTCTGTATCACATCAATATCGGTAATAATGACTGATAAAGGTCACTCTCTGTTACCAGATATTGATTATACACATTCATCACATATAATATGATTCCAATCAATATAATGTGACATCATGTTTGCTGCTGTTTTTTAAAGCTGTTCTATGAGTCTGATCTAAGATAAGAAAAGAAGAAGAGCTGTTTAAAGGTGCAGTGTTTGAGGATTTAGTGACATCAGACAGCATCTGTGGATAAAAACGTCTCATTCTGAGGCAACAAAAACACAATCATTCTTATATTCAGGTGATTAAACACAAATTAAAACAGATATGAATATTATATTTCTCACAACATGTTCCACACAACCTTTAATGTTTCCTTCCACAACTGGTTTAGATGTTTGTAGCTGTCCTTTAATGTCCTAACTGAAATATTTCAACATCTATTAAATGAATTATCACGTTGAAGATGTCCTGATGTTTTATTGAGCGCCACCGCTTTACCTTTAAAATGATATATTTACAGGATCAGCTCCTTTCTTTCTATAAAAGGAAAATGTAGTTTTCAGTTTCCATCCTTCTCTCCATTTGTTGTATTTATTCCTGTTTATTAGAATAAAAACCTTTTTGTTTGGATTGTTTCTCCCCCGGACATTTCAGAGACAGGGCTGCACAATTCATTTAAATATTACTACAGTGTGACAAACAGCATTATAATGAAGAACTGTAGTGCTGCAGAGAACCTGCTCCACAAATATTCTCCTGTAGATTTGTTAGGGATTAGTCTTTTCAATATATTTTAATACACATAGATGTGAAAGCCTGCATTTTATAAAGATAAGAAACACCTGTCTGTGGGAGGAAGAATGGGTTATCTCCAAGGTCGGAGGCACCCAGTTCTGACCGTCGCTCTAGTTTCATAAATAATATCAGTTGGGAGGGAGAGCAGGGTGGAATTATTAATTTTCTTTTAGGGCGCTGTCTCCTAGGAATTGGTTGGGTCGTGTGCCAAGAGGCTGGGACCAGTCTGAGCACCAACAAGTAAGCACCAAGTCTAAACCACGGTTGCTTCCCATCTCATTGCTCAATGTTAAACAAACATAACCTCCTGTGACCTTTGGTCATGACTCTTTTGGGGCGAGGAAAGAGGGAGTAACAGCACTCCGCTGACTGTGGCTTCTCAATCCAACAAGATCCTCGTACAAGTTTTATTTGAATTATACAATTCTAAATAAACTTCTTAACTGAGAGAAGTTGTTTGTCTTATGTCCTAAAGATCATTTTGATACACGACTGATTCCAGAAAACATGTTTGTTTGGTGCAAAAGACCCAAAAAATCATCATAATCTTAATAGTAAAACTGTGATACAGAAATGATAATTCCTACTATAATACTATACTGTGACTGAGTACAGCCTCACAGTTTAACTGTTTATTTAAGATCATTTTGATATATTATTGTCTCTGAACTTTAACCTTTTGGCCTTGATGCACTTTTAATTGAATTTTCGAGGTTTAATATTTAAATATTTAAACAGTTGTTTTAGAAGCTTCATTGTGAGGTCAGACGGGTTATTAACTGAAATATTAGGAACCTGATGGAGGTCAGACTGTTTGGAGTCAGTGTGAAAATGTTACTGTTCAGAATGAAAGAAAAACATTGTGTGTTCACTATTTTTATATCTGAATGTTTAAATTTACATTAACAAGTGAAGAAGTGAGTTCTTCATCAGTCGATGGTTTCAGAAAGAGGAAACTCCTCAGTTTAGTAACTCAGGTTTCCCCAACAGTCACTCAGTTAGGAAATAAGTTCAGAGGCAAAACTACAGCAACATCTTTAAAATGAAACGAAACAACAAACTTCAAGTAATCCCATCATCATCATCATCATCATCATCATCATCGTCAGCAGCAGCAGAAAAATAAGAAATACAAAAGCAAAAGAAACAAAAACACCAACACATGTCCAACCTAAGAGGAAACTCAGGTAGAAATCCTTTAAAACTAGAATAATTTAATATTTAAACAACAATAATGCCAGAAAATAATCCCAAGGTTAGAAAAACGCCATGCAGAACCAAACGCTGATGAGAGACACAGTTTAATACAAAGTTTCTACTCAATAGAAAGAGTGATAAGAAGCGTGTGTGCACGTCATTCAGAGCGGGCCTAGCTTATTACGACAGTCATAAAAGAGTTCATTTACACAGTCGGTCTGTTGCTCGTCTGCAGACGCTCAGAGGAAGGTCTCGGTGTCGGCTCACAGCGCGAGCCGTCGCAGGAGTCCGGCAGCACAAATATTACACAGAAATAACCCGCTCAGGTTTCTATGAAATGCTGCTGAAAGCTCTGGAAGAAATGTAGTAAGTGGACCTTTAATAACGTTGGAGCTGAATATCAGGATGGTTCAACGTCCTGATTAAAACCAGATCCGTTCATTTAACGTTAAAGTGTTCGCACCGATTACAAAGAAAAACAAACTGGTGTTTTATAAGTCACAAACATTCTTCATTAAACTGCTTTTACTTATTTTAAGTGACACTGACTTCATTCTGCTATTTGTACCAAGAAAAGAAAAGATCTAGTAAAAGTATTTAATCAGGAATGTTTCTGTAACTGAGCTAACAGTGGCTATCAGATGTAGATATAGATTAGCTAGCTTGTTAAAATCGTTAAAAGACTGTTTGTCACTGTCGGAAATTAAAATCTCTTTTGACTTCATGGGAGCACTTTGTATAAAAAGGATCATGATTCCCTCCGACAGTTGAACTCAACATCCTCTTCCTTTAAACCTTCTGACGTCAGTGAAGAGCTGCTGAGAGCTCTGGGAGATTTACAGTAAGTGCACCTTGAGTGAATGAATGCTCGCTGCTCGGCCTCCTGCAGCTTTACTGTGGAATAAAAACCACAAACAGAAACCGAAGGAATGATTCATAAACACGTGTTTGAGTGAACTGAGTGCCAGACTTCTGACGACGGCTCCGTCCGACAAATGTTTCCCCACAAACACTCGGGAGAGCGGTTCCTACTTTCTATGTTCACTGACAGGTTTGATCAGAAGAGAGCTCACAGGGTTGTTTGAGTTCAATCCACTGACATACACAACAACAACAACAACAACAACAACATAACAACAACAACAATAAAAACAACGAGACAATCCTATCCCCAACCAGCACTGAAGTAAGATTGCACATTCGATGCTCCTCGGTGCTCAACGCTCGACTACGGTAAAAACATTAATGTAATGTAAACCACTGAGAGACAATGCAAACAATAAGACTCATATTGCATTGAATATGGCTCAGATTCTTCTTCTCTTCTTGGATAAATGCTGCGCGCGCACACACACACACACACACAGTAACACACACAGACACACACGCACACACACACACACAGTAACACACACAGACACACACACACAGTCTGTAGTTCTGTAGCTGCACAGAAAACAGATTGAAGCTTCTTCTCTTCAGATTTGATATGGAATGGGGAATATTATCTCTCTCTCTCACACACACACACACACACACACACACACACACACACACACACACACACACACACACAAGCTGCATGTGGAGAGCCTGGTTGGGGGGGGGGAGTACCGGACACACACACTGTCCCACTGTGAAAGGGTGAATGTTATGGGTCAGTGATTAAGCTTTAAAACTGTTTTTTTTTTTAACAGAGTCTGCTGTGAGTCAACCTGCTGATCAATAACGATCAATAAGGATCAATAACAGCTGCACAGGGATTTATGGTGGAACTCCTGTTGGTTTTCTTTGTGGTCTGATTGTGGTCTGATTGTGGTCTGATTGTGGTGGTGGATTTAGTCGTGTTACGCTGTGAATTCGAGCTGCAACCAAAGATTATTCCCATTATTGATTTATCTTTATTACTTTCTACATTAATCCATCTCTGATCACCGATCAGATAAAGATATT